TTATAAGTACCGTAAATGGAGTTACCCCAATTATAACCCTACTTATAACCGACTTACTAAGTCCCCTGGGCCTCCAAGTAAACCCTAAACCCTAAACCCGAAGCCGTGGACCTGGCCACCTGCGACAGGCCGGTGTCAATCGGTCTGGTACTCTCTGTTTGGCATACCACGTGGCCAGCCCGTCATGATTCCAACCTGAATGGTTAGGGTTCAGGGTTTAGGGTGTAGGATTCCGGGGTTATAGGGGTTAGGGTTCAGGGTTTAGGGTTTAGGTCCTGAATGGGGGCCCAGACTTTGAGGGGGTCTCGGCCTTTCTGACATTTCAGGGTTTCGGCGGTCTTTGCTATGTTCAGCGAGGCTTCGATTTAGGGCTCTCTTGGGTATTGGAGGCTTCAAGGTTGGTGGGGCAGACTGCTAGGGATCAACGACGTCAGGGCTTCAAGATCTTTAGCCTTTTTTAGGGTTTAGGGTTTAGGGGTTTAGGGTTTAGGGTTTAGGGTTTCGGGGTTTCGGGTTCAGGGTATTAGGGTTTAGGGTTTAGGGTGTCCATTTAAACGGGATTGCCGGACAGGTACATGTTTCTTTCTGTTTGGAGCGAGTGTAGAAGGAAAACATTGGATGCTGGCAACGCATAGCACAGTTGGTGCACATACTACGACGATTCAGACTACCGTTGCTGTTGCTATTTATTGCTGTTGCTGTTGCTATTCCTGTTGCTGTTGCTGTTGCTCTTGTTATTGCTTTTGCCTGAGCAGCCTTAGCTGCCTTTCCCAACAGGGTAGAGGCTCTGACGAGAATCCCGAAACTCATAACCCTACACCAAAAGCGTTGATTGAACCCCCAATCCCAAGCCCTACATCCCAAACCAAAACAACCGAACACCAACCGATCCCACCTTTGCAATGTACGAAAAAACAAGCTAAAAGTTCCCTACTTTACACATTTGAATATCCTCTGGGTAGTTTTCTAAATTAGGGTCCCCTTTTAGGTCCCCAATATAGTACGGCACCCATTTTAAAAAGGACCCTAAAAGGGACCTTAATTTAGAGAACTACCCATATTACAGATAAGTTACGAAACATGTTCCATGTCGAAGGCGAACTCTGGAATGCCTTTACTGGAAAGTGCACGGCACTGCAAGGTCGGGCATGGTCTGGGGCTTTGGGGGTTTAGGATTTCGGGTTCGGGGTTTGGGGTTTAGGGTTTAGGATGTAGGGTTCAGGGGTTTAGGGTTTAGGGTACAGAATTTCGGGTTCGGGGTTTGGGGTTTCGGGTCTTATTGAAAAAGGCTGTTGAGGTATATTGTAATGGCTAGCCGGTGCGCTGCTACTGCTGGAAGCGGTTGCTTCCGCTGCTAATACTGCTACTACGCTCGTTCTACTGCTGCTGCTGTTGCTACTATTACCACCACTATGACTCACACCACCACCACCACCACCGCCACCACCGCCACCCCCGACGACGACGACGACGACGACCACGACGACGACGACTGCTACGACAACAACAACTACTACTACAGCTACTGCCACTGCTACTCTCCTTTCCGCTGTCTGCTGTGCTGGCTGGACATAAGCAGCAGCAGGAACGCCGCGGACGAATCTGCACCAACACAGCGAATCCTGGCTGCATGTATGTGATGGGCAACGAGGGACTCCTGCGGTGTCACAAACCGGAGCCCACAATATAAGCTCCGATTCTCGCGAGGTTCCAGCTGCAAGTCTTCGGCTTCGCCAAAAGGTGTGGCACCAGATCTATCAGAGGGGATGGGTCAGACTGTTTTGCTACAGGAACAAACTGCCGCTGATGTGAGCAAGCAGTGAGCGTGCGAAACGCCTATCCCTTCATCGCGGCAAGTGCCCGCATAGGAGCTTAGGACCGTAGGATATAGGAATTTTGACCGGGCATACTTGCCTGGTCTCCGACGGAAGTTGCCGAAACAAATCCATGCTGCATGAATCTGCATAAGAGACTGGCGGGGAAGCTGTCTAGTTCTTACGCGGTTTCTTCGGACCATCAGAGTAATAGTGATAGTAAACACAACAAGAGAAGTGAACATCTGAAAGATATGAATAAAAATAGTATATTTACAAGAGTAGTAGTACTAATAAGCAAAAAACTAAAGTTCTCAATAACAGTAATAATGATAATAGTAATTAGAATACGAATGCTTATAACCGCAATCTCATAAAACAAACAGTAGTACTTATAGCGATAACACTTATGGGAACAATGATACTGACAATCCTGTCCTCAGGCTCAAATTTTGCACAGATGTGCAGTGGCACGAGAAGCAGTAAGTTCGCATACGATGCCACGCCAAGTGCAGGGGTTTCAGCCTTTTTGCGAGCTGAAAGCTGGAATGTCAGAATCCAGCGGATGTGGCCATGGAAGCCCTCCATGTTGTTTGGACGGCGCAAAGGCGGCCACTGACAGGTCCAGGACTTAGGTTTGCTGTCCTTCCCTGGCAAGGCATGTTCTTGGGCGGCTGCTTCGCTGCCTCCTCGTTATTTGCCTGGTGCGTGCGGGCCTCGTGCTTCGAATACCTCCCCGATCCGTGTATGCCGACCGTTGTACCACCATGCTTCACTTGGAGCACAGACAGCACGGAAAGTCTTCCACAGTATGGCTCATTGCCAGGGCCCACGCACCAAGCCTTGAACATCGAACAGGCATGAAGGGGTTTTGGCAGGAGGGGTCAGCATGGGCCGCCAACATCGTCCTTTCCGTGAGAGTTTACTGTGTGTCGCAGGTCCTGGAAGATGCGGTGCTCCGTTTGAGGAACCGGGTATATATCGTGGCTGCCTGAGCGATGGAAGCGACGGGCGCTCAAGTTGTTCGAGTGGCGGTATGGCCCACATATATAAATATACACACATACATACACATACACATACACATACACATACATATATATACCCATATCCATATACATATGCATAGGTCTTATATGTAGATATGTATCCACACATGAAGACAATAATTGAGCAAGCAAAACATTACAACTAAATACTCCAGTTAATGCAACCGATGAATTGCTCAAAGAATGAATGGACTGGAATGGAATGGAATGGAATGGAATGGAATGGAATGGAATGGAATGAAAGGCACTGAACTGAAATGAAATACCGAACGAAGAAAGGAATGAATGAAAGAATGGTGAATAGAATAATGAATGAATGAATGGCTAAATGAATGAATGAATGAAGGAATGAATGAATGGATGGGCTGGAATGAAATGGAATGAAGGAGCGAATTAACGGATGGAATGGAATGGAATGAAATGGACGGAATGAGTGAATGAATGGAATGAACGAATGAATGAATGCATGAATGAGTGAATGAATGAATGCATGAATGAATGAACGAATTAATGTATGAATGACTGAATGAAGTGAATGGTATGAATGAAACGAATGGTATGAATGAAACGAAAGAAATGAAGGAAATAATTCATGAATGAATGGATGAAGGAGTGACATGGAATGAAATGGAATGAAAAGGAATGAAGGAGTGAATGAATGGATGCAATGGAATGGAATGAAATGGACGGAATGAGTGAATGAATGGAATGAACGAATGAATTCATGGAGCGAGTGGATCAAAGAAAGGAAGAAAGACCGAACGAAAGCATGAATGCGTGAATGAACGAATAAATGCATGAATGATTGAATGAATGAAGCGGAATGGAGTGGAGTGGAATGGAATGGACCGAAATGAACAAGTACATAGATAGATAGATAGATAGATAGATAGATAGATACGTAGATAGATAGATAGATAGATAGATAGATACATGGCATATATGTGTACATACATGCATATATATATATATACATATGTGGAGAAAGTGATTTTGCGTCCATCTCTAAATGATGTATGTGCATTTACATGCGCACACCCTAAATCCTAAGCCCTGAACTCCTCAAGACTCCTACCTAAACCCTAAAACCTGAACCCTAAACCCCTAAACCCTTAACCCTAAACCCCTAAACCCCTAGACCCTAAACCCTATAACCCCGAACCCTAAACCCCTAAACCCTAAACCCTTCTGAGGCAGACACATTGGTGCACAAAGCGTCGGTGGCCAGATGTGACTCAGCCCGCAGCCTACTACGAGGGCGCCAGCAAGAACCGTCCCTGAGAGACTTACCCTATACCCGCAACCCGCAAAGCCAAACCATAAACGCTAAACCTTAAATCCTCAAACCTAAATCCTTAATCCTGAACCCTAAACCCTAAATCCTCAGCCCTAAACCCTACATCCCCAACCCTAACCCTAAACCCCCAACCCTAGACCCCTGAATCGGCTTCCGCGGCCGAGGCCGTGGACGGCCCGCACTGCCGTGGCCCGCAGGGCAGCTTCGCTGGAGCCCGTGAAGTTGTCGAAAGTGCGGCATTACGGGGCTTAGGGTTTTAGGGTTTAGGGTTGAGGGTTTAAGGTTTAGGGTTTTGGGTTTGGGTTTAGGATAGGGTTTAGGGTTTAGGGCAGCAGCTGAATGAGTACACTTCTTGGAATAATATTTTCCCTGTAGAACTGAAGGCTTCCACTTTGTGTTGAGCTCATGAACTCAGCAGCTAAGAGGTGTAGATAAACTGAGAATTTGGCTCGTTAGCATAATAAGAAAAGTCCTATGTTGTCATTAGTATTTGCAGCAACAAGTACAAATAAGTAAACACAAGAACTAACAGTATATAAATGTGTGAGAATATATATATATATATAGATGATTAGGTTATACCTATGCGTGTGTATGTATATATATATATATATATATTTTTTTTTCCATATATATATATAATACAGACCACATATACATGTACATGCATGCAGGCAAATCATGTATGCATGTTTATATGTACATATGTACATATGTATGTATGTATGTATGTATGTATGTATGTATGTAGGTATGTAGGTATGTAGGTATGTAGGTATGTAGGTATGTACATATGTATGTATGCATGTACGTATGTATGTATGTATGTATGTATGTGTGTGTGTGAATGTATGTATGTATGTATGTATGTATGTATGTATGTATGTATGTATGTATGTACGTATAAAGTCCATGTCTATCCCCATCTCTATCTCTATCTCTTTCCCTGCCTCTATCTCGATCTCCATCTGTACAGTACCTCTATTTCTGTCTCTATCTCTGCCTAGACCTATGTCTATTTATAATACTTGTTGCAAAAACAAATACATATCTACATCTCTATCTCTATCTCTATCTCTATGGCACTTTGTGGCTATCTCTATCTCTGTCTCTATCTCTATCTCTCTTGCATACCTATATCTGTACCTGTATACCTACGTATTCTGCTCTATTCTGTATCTTATGTGTGTGCACGCTGGCCGAGGCTGGGGATCCGGTGGATGCATCCTCCGACAGGCCCTGCCATCTGCTGTCCTGCACTTTGCCCTAAACCCTAAACCCTAAGCCCTAAACCCTAAACCCTAAACCCTAAACCCTAAACCCTAAACCCTGAACCCTAAACCCTAAACCCTAAACCCTAAACTTTGCAAGCTTTTGGGGCAGCGAGTCCAAAAGGTCGGCGCTCGTCACCGCCTGGAGCTTGACCCGCTGAAGCTGCTGCTCCCTCGTCTAGTTTGGTTACACCCGGCAAGGATGGAATCTTTTCTACGAGACTGCTTGCGACGGCAGAGGGCGGCGAGATGCTAGATGAGCCCTTACCTCAGTGACGCTCAGACTGTCCACATTCAGCGGACGTCGGAAGGTGTGATTCTGTATTTCCGACCCTAAACCCTAAACTACCCTAAACCCTAAACCCTAAACCCTAAAGTATTTCCGCATTGCCTGGTGATTTGTCGAGGTATTTTCTTGGGGCCAGCCTGAAGGCGGCTGGCCAGAAACTCCACTCCGAGGCTTGCCAGGGTGCTCCAATAACGGGGTCCCCTATTTTCGGGTCCTTATAATCAGGATCCTACCATTTAGGGTGCTATATGGGAATTTCCGAAAATAAGGGGTACCTTATTTTGGGGTCCTTATAGTAAGGATCCTATTATTTAGGGTACTATATTAGGGTCCCCTATTCTCGGAAACCCCCATATGAAGCAGCTGCATCAGCAACTGTGGCAAGTTGTAGTCGCAGGAATGGGATAATAATCACGTGGGCAAGCCTGGGAATACTGACTGGTAACAACGACAGCAGCAGTACTCGCCACCGGAGAAAACGCAGACGCAGTCGCAGTCGTTCTGATGGTATTCACAACAAACACAGCCAAAATGGCGAGTCTACGGACACCCAAGCTGAGCCCTACAAGTACCCTAAACCCCTAAACCCTTAACCCTTAAAGCCCTAAAATCCTAAAACCCTCAACCCGAAACCCCTCATCCCCCATAAACCCTAAACTCCTCATCCCCTATAAACCCTAAACTCCTAAACTCCTAAACCCCTCATCCCCCATAATTCCTAAACTCCTCATCCCCTATAAACCCTAAATCCTAAAACCCTAAACCCGTAAATCCTAAAACCCTCAACCCTAAAACCCTAATCCCTACAAACCTCTCATCCCGCACAATTCCTAAACCCCTAAATCCTAAAACCCTAAACCCTAAAAACCCTCATCCCGCACAAAACCCTAAACTCCTAAACCCTAAACCCCCCATCCCCCCCTATAAACCCTTAAACCCTATAAAAACCTAAACTCCAAGTGCAAAGCCCCGAAGCTTTCGTCCCAGGCAGCGACAGCGTCGGAGTCCCAGCGCCCAAAGCAGGCGACCCCCGAAGTTTCCCAGGACCCTCCAAGTACCCTCTAATAGGGGTATATGGTCCCAAATTAAGGGTGTTTAGAGTCAAATAGTGAGTTGAGAAGGAGGATTCAGGGATTTAGGGATTTAGGGGTTTAGGGACTATAGGGGTTTAGGGATTATAGGGGTTTAGGGATTATAGGGGTTTAGGGATTATAGGGGTTTAGGGACTATAGGGGTTTAGGGATTATAGGGGTTTAGGGATTATAGGGGTTTAGGGTTTAGGGGTTCAGGATTTAGGGATTTAGGGATTTATATCGGGGTTTAGGGTTTTGGGTTTAGGGCTTAAAGGGTTTAAGGGTTAACTTGGGTTGAGGGTTTAAGGGTTAAGGGTCTAGGGTTTAAGGTTTAGGGTTTTGGGTTTAGGGTTTAAGGGTTTAATTTGGGTTTAGGGATCTTTAGTGCTATTGTCCTTACGATTGCTTCAGATGCCAAGCCTCTAAGAGTCCCTCTAAGGCTTCTTTAAAGGGTTCTTACGTTTTTTGTTCAAGGGTTCCTCTCGTCCCTTTAAGGCTTCCTTTAAAGGGTTCTTATGGTTTTTGTAAAGGGTTTCTCTAGTGTGTCTAAGGCTTCCGTTAAAGGGTTCTTCTGGTCCCTGTAATGCCACGGTTTGGGGTTTAGGGTTTAGGTGTTTAGGTGTTTAGGGTTTAGGGTTCCTCTACTCCCTTTCAGGCTGCCTTTAAAGGGTTCTTATGGTCCCTTTAAGGCTTCCCTTTACAGCATCCTTTAAAGGGTTCTATAAGGGCTTCTAAAATGGGGCTTAGTGTTCAGTATAGAAGCCCAAATTGTTAGCAAGCGTGCAATCGTGCCAAGTTTCGGCACACGGCAGAAAGAACGGTGATTGTGAGTGTTGTGGCTGTCACAAGTGAGAGCATTCTGAGCAGCCCTAAACCCTAAACCCCTTATGGGTAGTTCTCTAAATTAGGGTCCTTTTTTAGGTCCCCAACATAGTACGGCAACCCTATAAACAGGACCCTAAAAGGGACCCTAATTTAGAGAACTACCCTTATATTCCCTTTAAACCCTAAACCCTAAACCCTAAAACCGCTGCTCGACAGGCGTCGGCCGGAAAACCCGGCGGACGCTCGGCGCTGCTGAGCTTTCGAGGGATGCGTCCCTGGCAGGCTTGGGCCAGGGGGAACTGAGCATGGGGTGGGGTTTAAGGTTTAGGGTGTAGGGTTTAAGGGTTTAGGGTTTTGGGGTGTAGGGTTGCGGGGTTTAGGGGTTCAGGGTTTATAGGGGTTTAGGGGTTTAGGGTTTTAAGGTTTTAGGGTTTTAAGACTTTAGGGTTTAGGGTTGTGGGTTTAAGGTTTTGTTGAAGGGCTTTGGGTTTACACCCTTGGGGTGTCCTAGACTTTCTTGGATAATCAATGGGAGAACTTGTATTTTTTGGCCTTAAATGTTTGGTCTTAAAGTAGTAAGTTAGAACTTTGTGGGCCCGTTTCTTGAAGAAGAGAGGTTTAGAGGTTTAGTGTTGAGGGCTAAGGGTATAGAGAGGTTTAGGATGTAGGGTTTAGATTAAGGGTTAGATAGGCTTAGGATTTAGGGTTTCAACCCCAAAGCCCTAAAAACCCTAAACCCTAAACCCTAAACCCTAAACCCAGAACCCTAACCCCCTAAGCAACATCTACCAGCTGCAGGCAGGGCTGCCTGAGGACTTCGCGGGCACCCGACGACTGGGAGGCTGGTCCCTGGGACGGTTGGAAAGCGCATTCTATTCCTTAGTGGCTGAGTAGGGCCTTCTGGGCTTTAGGGTTTTGGGGTTTAGGGTTTAGGGTTTAGGGTTTAGGGTTCAGGGTTTAGGGTTTAGGGTTTAGGTATAGGGTTTAGGGTTTAGGGTTTAGGGTTTAGGGGTAACCTTTAACGTCTTGGGCCTCTTATAATCCTACTATAATTCAAAAGGTTAACCTTTCTTGGGCTAGGGTACTCAGCCCCTAAGATTCGGAAGTATGGATCAGGTCTGAAGGGGACGGGGGTTTTCCAGTCTCAGCGCGGGAAATAGCAGGTTTGAGAAGCTTCGCCTGGCAGAGATCACGGAAACTGCAGCAGTCTTTGGGAGGAAAACCTGCCTCTGGTCCCTTTTGATCCCTTTTCATGCCAGCCAGCAAGGTACCGTACCTAATGTACGGGCCTCAATAATCAGAATAGGGTTTTGGGGTATATTATACTATAATCGTAATATGGAATTCCTAAAATAGAATTGGTAAGTATTTAGGCTCCTATATCACTCGTTTGCTCCATGCCCAAATGTAGATGCACAGTCAGCAACTTGCCTTCCAGGCGGCGTGCCTTTCCAGGTCAAGTGGGAGGTGGGCCGAACTCTAGACCCGAAATGCTAAACTACTAAACCCTGAACCCTAAGCCCTACTAAACTACTACACCCTAAACCCTGAATCCTAAATCACCAAACCCTAAACCCTGAACCCCTTAACCCCTAAACCCTAAACCCTAAATTCTGAACCCGAGACCTTAAGCTTGTGCATGACGAGAGTGGCCCTGGAGCCTTGACTTCTCAGGGGCCCTGGAGCCTTGTCGAGAATGATGAATTCGAGAACGATGCCCCTCGGCAGTTCGACAGAGGGTGCGGGGAACTTCGGGGTTTGGGGATCCTTGAAGGGTTCCTTCATGGGTCTTCAGGAGTTCAGGGTTTTGGGGATTTTCGGGCTTTGAGGGTGTGTTTGGGGTTTGGGCAAGTTTAAGGGTTTAGCAGGACTTGCCGCGGAGTCTCTTCTCGGGCCTGAGGCCGTCAAGCGCAATCGCTTCGTCGCCAGACTTGTGGGTGGGGTCGGCCGCATACGCTTTGGCAGACCCGTCAGCATCCAGTCCGTGGACCTGCGCCGGCCACGTTCCTGCAGAGTGCCTTTTGGCATGCCATTGGTGGTAAAAGGACGCCGCAAGGGAGCGGAGGTATTCCAGGAAGTGGTTCCAAAGTGGGATCTGCACACTTTTGTAAATGGTGTGGCTTTCTTCGCTTTGACGTCCACGGATGTCGTGGACGAGCTCGTGTTCCAGGAATGCATACTGGTGGGTGCTGTCCAGCTTACCTTTGGTTTTGACTTGGATGCCGTCTTCAGCGACCAGCTGCCAGATTCCCAAAGCGAGATGCCACTGTATGTGACCTTTAGGGAAGGCTGGCATGCGTATGGCTGGGATGAGATCGAATTCCGCATTCCGGCACATGTGGAGACAGCCCCGGTCTGGCATCTGAACGATGTGGCTTCCCAGCGCCTGTCATTGCGTCCAGGGGTTTTCGAGCTTCCACAAGCATCCTCCCGGGACGCTCCTCTTCCCGGTCTCATGGACCCTATCTCAGCAGAGCTTGATGCTGAAGAGGAGGCACTGCTATCCGCGGAGCTGGAACTGCAGGCACAAGGCGGAGGTGGCGACAAGCCCGAAAGTCACACTTCGACTGCGAGGGCGAGCGAGGGACCGGAGCCCATCCGCATGCCCGCAGACCTCGAGGAAGTTCTCGATACAGCCATCCTACCCCAGGCCAGATTTCGTAGGGGAATTTGGCAATGTCTGTGTGTGTGTGTGCAGCCCGCCACGTGCACTTGGCAAGGAGTTTGTGGAGTTGGCCATAGCCGCGCCCCAAGCATCCGAACGAACGTGTTTGTGCCCGATTCTCTGTCACCTCACACCGCTTGTGTAGTAGTGGCAGTAGTAGCAGCACCAGTAGAAGTAGCCGTAGTAGTCGTCGTAGTAGCAGCAGCAGCAGCAGCAGCAGGAGTAAGAGCAGGAGCAGAAGTAGGAATAGTAGTAGTAGTAGTAGTAGTAGTAGTAGTAGGAGTAGGAGGAGGAGTAGGAGTAGGAGTAGGAGTAGGAGTAGTAGTAGTAGTAGTA